ATATATATATATATATATATATATATATATATATATATCGCTAATAATCTTTAGAAAATAAACTTACTGTTCTGGAAATACAGCCGACATAATATTATTAATAAAAATACCCCAATCGTTTCCTTGAACGTAAAACTTATCGTGTCCAAGTCTTAGCATAAGGTTTTTAAGGATCGTGCTCATGTGCACACACGAGAAACCAGGTTTCGTGGGTACACTAGAGAAACCGAATCCAGGTAAGGAAGGCGCTACTATTTCAAATACAAAGTCATATTCTGATCTCGGAGTAGTCAATAATGGTATAATCTTATAAAATTCCACTACGGAGCTGGGCCATCCGTGTAAAATCAATAACGGTAAAATTTGTTTATTCCCCGGACAACTTGGCTTTACATGGACAAAATGGACATTTAAACCTACGTTAAATGCAAACATACAAAGTTAATAATTTATCACGATTGTTATAATGATTATTATTCATTTTTAAATCTTGATTTTTCTACTTTCTTTTCTGGATATATTTCTGTTGGAAACGCAGAATATTATCTATTATTGTTTCAATAAAGTTTTTTTTAATTTATCAAATATAAGTGATTTTCGTATTAACTAATAGAAGTTAAGAATAGATTGGAAATAGCAAATCAAGAAAAATTTTGTAAGTAAAATCATTTATCATACAGCTATTAAAATTATTTATTATATTTTTTAATAATTATTTACCTTGGATGTTGGTTATGAAGTGCGGATACTTATTTATATATAATTCACGCTTTTGAAAATTATAATTATTTGCCCAGTAATCTAAAAATTCGCGCATGATATTATTAATGCAATATGAATAACGACATTCCCTGCTATTCTTTAATCGATTTTTTAAATCATTTACGACCTAAAAATAATTTATCTCTTCGTTAAGAAATTATTAATTCAGATTTTTTTTGAATAAATTAGATTTTAAGTTGTTCCAGTAAGTTGATTCTAGTTATTATTAAATTACCTCTTTAGAGAAAGTGATTTTGCATGCTTTAACATTTTTGCTGACATTCTTCGTGGTCCACTGTCTTTCCGATACTTTCGCTATTTTAACCGTCTTAGATAAGTACTTCGATATGATGATAAGTACAGAAGAGAAAAAAAGAATAATCCCGGATAGTATACCGATAGTACTGGTACGAACCATATTTCCAATTAATTCTTTTAAAATTTAGTCGTCTTGCTGTTAAATTAATATGAAACGCTTGCTTGATTTGCTTGGTATCTTCGTATTGAGTTTACTTCGCACCGACTGCGCACACACTGTGACTTATTGAATACGTTTTCTGGGATATATCATTATTTATAAACAGAACCTAGCGGACAAGGAATAACAGATCCGTTACTATTATTTATTATTTTAAATAGTCATCAAATGAAAATAAAACGAGATATTGCCGACCGAAGATATTTGTAATAAAGAAATTTATATGTATTAACGTGTAAATATATATATTTATATATATATATATATTAATTTTGTATACATAATTTGACATAACTGATTCGTTAAAGACAAACATAAATGTAATTGAAAAGGTTAAAATAGTAGAAAGTAATATTAAAGATATTTTAAATAACAAGAGAACAGTGAGATTTTTTTATTTTAATTAAGAAAATTAAATTAAATTATCACATCTTTTATGGGAATTAATTATTTTCTCGTTGATGAATATTTTGTCAGCATACAGGTTGTAGTGTCAAGTAATACAAAGTCGTTATGCTATCATTCGTTCGTGACATTATGCATCTGGAAAGATACTAATTTTTTCATAAACGTTCAATACAATTGTTTTCTTTTTTTAGATGCGATCGGGTCTTACTAAATAAATAGTTCGCGCGTACTGAGATTACAATTACCTATTAGAAGTATTTATTAGAGCAAATGTATCGCGCGATTAACTCGTCAGAAACAAAAATTAAAATAATAGAGGACAGAATTGCTGCTAACATGTTGCTATAGAAGATAATCATTTCCCGTTAGTTCTACGTTGACTTGAATACTTCTCGCGTCGCAGTTTAAAATTTTCCAATTCAATCTAATTTGCTAATTTAATCTAATTTGCTCAATACCTTTGAACTAAAGATCCAAAGTAATGTACAGATGTACTAATGTATTGATGATTTAAATAACGGAAATTGCAATATCTTGAATTCATTAATAGCATGCGTATTAATAGCGACATCCGTAATATATCAAGCATGCAATATTAAATTTTATATTCGGAATTTTCTTTTCGAATACTTTGTTTTTTTGGTCATTAGCTTGATTTCATTAATTGCGTTATATTGGGCAGTATTAAAGAAAACTTGTTTAGAAGTCGACATATAAGAATTAATACTAGATTATCAACACTAGAATTATTAATACTACATTTAGTATTAATAAAGATAAAATAATATTTCCTTCATGAACCATAAAAGTTTTATTTAAATTTTATTATTTTTATAATGTCTATGTTTTGAAGATGACGAAAATTCGGGAAGAAGATATTAATGAAGATATTAATGTAAAATTATATTTATATTTATGTGTAAGAAATGAAGAAATATGTCGGGAATATGACAAATTTCTATCAACACTAAAACTTATGTACGAAAGGCTTCATTTTTCATTTCTGATCTCATATTTCTTATTTCTTACCGAGCATTGTGACATACTGAACTTTGAACGAAGTGTAACTGACCGAAGTTTCCTTCTGCTTATGAGTTCGTCTGTTGATTCATAATTCGACACCTTCGTGACGTTATCGTTACTATTCAATGCGTTCATTTCTTATGCCAAACGACGTCGCATAGAACATACGTATTCATTGCAAATGGTAATTTGTATTGATTCTATTTCTAGCCTGAATTAATAATTCTGGAAATTAACTTGTGATGTAAAGTATATCTAGATATATCTAGAAATATTTAATAAATTTATATTAAATTTTTTATTAAATTTTAATAATATATTTCACCGATCAATTTTATTTATGTTTAATATTTAATAGATTATATTTTAGTAATTTATTATTTTTAAACTTAGAGTTTTTAAAAGGAATATCTCAAATAATTATTATTATGTAATATCTAATATTTAAAAGATCTTATAACATACAAACATCAATATAGCTTTATATTAATGTTATTTGGATATGAAAATAAACGATAAAAATATAAATATATAATTTAAAGGAAACAATAAACATAACAAGAAGTCAATTCGAAGTCAAATCATAATTTATAAATAAAAAGATATTTTGATAAACTTGAAATTAATTCTTAAATTTATAAAACAAAACTTAATAAAATTTAAAAAAAAAGCATAAAGTAAGATCCAAAATAAATTCTAAAAAGTAAATTCTCAATCATTATATTAAATACATTTAAGAAAATTGGAAAATGCATGTGGAAGAGCAGGGCATGGTGTACAACCATTGAATTCAATTAAAACAATAACAAATACATATATTTCTCGAAATGTGATACAATAGAGGTTTTCTTGTGTTGGTAGTCATATCTAATTTTTTCTCATGTTTTTTTTTTCACGTTTTATTTAAGTGGATCGGACGATTAGTTATCGTAGATGCGGCGGTGTCCTCTATCTCATTTTCTTACCGTTCTATTTGGAGCAAAGCCGGCGGCCGCGTCTGTCTCTCGCGCTGCTACATAACTCTCTACTATTTTATTTATTACTATTTTTATTTATCGAATTGCGATGTGTGTCAATCATGCTAACTGCGCTTCTTTATAGGCCAGTAACTTGTGCCGAGATCCACGTTATATCGCACAGTCAGCATCATTAATAGCACTGAGAAAATAATTGAGAAAAAGATCAACTTATTTTCTATTCATTAATAAGAAAGATTTTCGATAATAAAAAACATTATCTGTGATCCGAAGTCATCTTCTGCATTGAAAATTTGCGTCGCGAATGAATAATATGTAAACGAAAAAAAAAAAAAAAAAAAAAATACATTTTCCTTGTCCAAAATCTATAAAATTCTTCTTCCATATTGCCCTTAATGACGATGAGTGTGCGTGACAAGCAGAACACATATGTACGTACGAGCTTGATATTGGCTCGCGCTAAACTTCAAATAGATATCGCAAATAACTGAGAAACTTCCTTGCGGACTACGATTATACGCTCGAAAGAATAACATGAGAAACTTCGTATACAATCAAAACGCGAAATCCTGTTTTCCGCTTTATTACGCTTTGTATGCAATACCACGTCACTTTCTTCCGCTTAATACACATCGGGATATCAAGCCATGCAATTTGTCAGACAGTTTACAATGCGATATTTTTTCGAAAAATAAAATCTCGTGCTGCTACTAAAATGACATAGTTTTATATATGAATTACTATCGAGCGAAGGCGTTTTATTTTATTTTATTTTTTTTTGTTTGTTAAATCTGCCGACGCGAGATGTAGTCGGTTTAACATCGTTCTTCGCAGATATCGCGCGAAGAAATTCTTCCTCATTTACGCAGCATATTTTTGATAGAATGTGCAAGGCAATCGCGTGAAGAACTGTAATCGGACGATTTCGTATTCGCGACTTTCGACAGACCACTCGGAACAAGTATAAGGCATCGAATAATCGGATCATTGCGCTCGCGCATAAATCTGTCCGCAAAAAAAAAAATGTATAATTTCGATTGTAATGTTGAAATTATAAATACAATGTACAATATACATTTTATACGTAAGAAACGCAATATAAAGAGTAATTAGCACAGTAAACGGATATATCCAAAAGATTCGAAGAATAACGCGAGGATACAATCGCAAGTCACGTTTTCGCGCTGTCGGCGAAATTGATCTGCGATATTTAAAACGGATCTACCGTCTATTAAGTAAACGCGAAGGGTCAAAAATGAAATTTCGTTTCACATCGATTGTCTTGTCCTCTCGGCCGATAAAATGATATATGTACAGAGCATCTCCGTGTTTCGCGTTTGCGCATCGAAATTGCCTCTCTCGATTGTCGAAGAAAAACCAGATGTATGTCGTCGATACGCGAATCTAAGAACGAAACTAAGAGCTTCGCCCCGGCGGGTTGTAATTATTTTGAAAATCATGAATCGTTGGCGATTGAGTTGCAAAATCTCGCTCGTCGTTCCGGTTACTCGCCCACATTGTTGAAAACGCACGGTACATCGGTCACTATTATTGTCACTAAATTTTGCAAAACGAGCGAGCATCGCTCTCGTTCAGGTGTCGTTCAATCTCGCGTGTTCATCTGTACAATAT